AAATTAATGTTTTGGTGATAATGCTACTATTATATCTCTCCTATTAAGAAATGGTAGGAATAAAGTTGGTATAAAGAAAATACATGACTTACTGTAAAGCAACATACGACTTCTGAGTGGTATAGGCTTAGCTCCTAACAAAGGTAGCTTCCTACTTATCATGATTGATGAGGAGTCACTTTTACCTGATTGGCAGAAAAAATCTTGGGCACAAAGAATCAGAATGGCCAACTCAAAGTAATTAACTCTAATTACAGAAGATTTGATTTTGTAATTTCAGGAATTCCTTTACTATATTTGTCACTGTGAATGTGACTCCACAGAAAATTTTAAGGATCTTTGAGTAAAATCAAGGTAACTTTTGTATTTATAGATACATAGAATTTTAATGTTAATTCTGACAGACCAGAACATTTTAGTTCCTAGCAAATATGCAAACTATGCTGGCTGTCGAAAGATCACTGAGCAAATGCCCTTTCTAAGAAGTTGCCTCCCTTATTCTGAGAGTGGAACTACTTCTGGGAATATGCTAGATAAGATAAATAACATGTTACACTGTTTAATCTTTGGATCCATGTTCACAGTTTCACAGCTAACATTTGGTGCTTATTTAAGGCACTCTTTAACATATACAGCTCAGGATTTATTTAGGTCACTATGGAAAGGTGCTTTTCACAGCCTTTCTCATAAGAAGAAAAGTCATGTATTGACATTAGATCTAGGTTTGAATTCTACCATCATAAGTTACCTGGCTGGCCTTAGTTTCCTCATTTATAGAATGAGGGTGTTGTCCAGGCTTATTGATAATTACAGGCCTGCTGTAAAATAAATTGTTACAAATTATTCTTTCCTCTGCTTTATCATTTTGTTCACTGCATTTACATATAAAAAAAGACCAGAGACTGAATAGTAAAACTACGTCCACTTGGAGAAATACATTTGCATTGCTTTTATTGTTTCTGTTCGTATTTTAGACAGGTAACTAACTATTCCGTGCCAATCTGCTTTATTATAGATAAAGCAAAAGTTACTTCTCGTGACATTTGAAAAAGTGAAATCAAGCTAGATGACCTTGTCTTCACTGATTTCACTTGTAAAGTTCAGGTTCTTTCCCTTCTTTTCTTGTCAGTGAAGCTACAAGTTCTTGATCATGACTGCTTGCTAAAGAATAAGGACATCTGGGAAGAAAAGCAGCTGGTAGGAGCCAGCTGGGGTGAATTATAATGACATGAAAAGCCACACTACCTATTGTAGCATGGTTACTTTTAAGTGACTCCTGCTTTTGCCTTGACTGCAACTATAATTAGCTTTATTGGAACATTAAATTCAGGGCTAAGCATGTTTCTTGGTAATTTTTACCTTTCCACAGTCCTGTATTTTTGTTCATTGCCTCTGTCTAGAACTTTCAGCTTTTTGATAAATACTAATCAAGGTATTTTTTCCCTAAAAGACTTTGTCCATAATTAAAAAATATCCTTTGGCTTTATTTTGCACTTCTAGTTTATAATAATAACTTAAGCAAGAAGATTTTGAGCTCTTAATTTTCTGGCAATAATTATAGCACTTGGCTTAAACAGACTTACTTCGGTTTGAGTGTGTGTGTATACACATGCACCACTACCTAATCTAAAACACATGGTTTATTCTTACATTGCATTTATTCAGATACTACATTTAAGGGTACATAATTGTATAATGGGTAGATAAACTATATGAACAAATTGTGAAAAAAAGGACAGCTCCTCAAAATTTGAAACTGACTAAACATCAAAATATGATATGGTGGATATAGTAATAAAAAAGAAATCAAAGTATAAATCAACATTAGATGAAGAAAAGTTGAAGGGAGAAATAGTCTGCTTCATGGATCGGTCATAATTTTAAGGAAGGTGAATCTCTGAACTGAACACCACAGAAAACATTAACTTCTTTGGAACTGTACTTAAGACAACAGTATTAGTATCTTCATTAAAATCTGACTGTTTAAACAGTGGTTTCCAAAACCTAAGTTTCTGTCAGAATCATTTGGAGGAATTATTAATATATATTAACTGTCCTCATTCTGGGAGCATCTAATAATTCAGTAGTTATAGGGCAGGTCCAGATATATCCATTTCTAGCAAGTTCCCAGGTTGTGTTCATGCATATGGTTAAAAGAAACTTCACTTTGAAAACTAGTTTATCTGAATTCAAAGAATTGTAATGGCTTCCTAAATACAAGCCATTAGTTGTTTAAAATCAAATTACTGTCATCTCTAATTACTGTCAGAATGCATTTGAGCTCTTATGTGTCAGTCACTATTTACTTCTCTAGATAATGGAACATCCCTCAGTAGGCTTAATCTAATAGAGTTAACCATAGTAGTATTAGTAAAAAAAAAAAAAAAAAAAAAAAAAATCATTACCTTGCATTGATCATTCAGTGTGCCAGGAACTATGCCATTTAATCCTCAGAGGATTAGGACACAAAATGCTTGTTTGAGCTGGGAAGGAATGAATGAATGAAGAAAGAAAGAAAGAAAGAAAGAAAGAAAGAAAGAAAGAAAGAAAGAAAGAAGGTCTATAAACACTTTCTACACCATTTAAAATTAAAAGTATGTGTATTGCAGGACCAGAGTAGGAATAGAATAATTGACTTTACTCTAGGACAGCAAAAGATTACCACAAAAGAGATGGCCCTGAGCGCCATAAAGGACAAGTGAAGGCCACATGAATTGAAACTACAGATATCTCCACCTGGGGGAGCAGTTTCTGCAAAGCCAAGGGAAAAATGTGACAGATTACAAATATTACATAAGGCCAAAATACATTTAAAAAAAAAAAAGGATAAGAAACCATCTACAGCAAAGGTCAAAGTCATGATGAAAAACAACACTGGGGAGCCAGAGGCCAGCCCTGTAGTCCACATAGTTTCTGGCCAGCCAGGGTTACCCTGTATTAAAAAAAAAAAAAAAAAAAAAAAAAAAAGAATTAGGGTTTTGATTGGGGTTTTGTTTGTTTTTGTTTATTCTTTCTCCTGTAATTTTCATTCACTGTAAGCCAGTGGTTCTCAAAACAGGGTCAGGCAGCAGAATCATTTTCTGGGCACTTGTTAGAAGTCCCATTTAGAGCCCTGCAATCTGTTTGTACTAGACCTCCTGATGACTAGTGCATACTAGTTTGAGAATAGTATAATTGGTATTGAATTGTTGAATATTATTAAAATAGTAGTAATTGTATCTATGACTGATCTAATTCTGTCAGAGTACTACACACAACAGAATTGAAATGTTAGTACCTAACGGAATACTTTTCTTTAACATCCTTTTATACCTTGTGAATCCATATCTTCTTCTGTTGCTGCAAAGAGATCAGTGTCAGCAAAAGTGTTAGGTCAGCATTTAAAGTGTAGCATGCTCATTAATCATTAGCTGTAGTAATAATGACTTGGAAACTTATTAACTATTTTTAATTAACAAGAAAAGAAAGTAAAAAAACTCCTTTCATAATTTTTAAACTGAAATGTATTATAGTTGATACTTTAAAGCACTCTGTTAAACCACATGTATCAAAGGAATAGGATGTATTCACACCATGAAATGACTTAAAAATAACTCTTTCTTGCTAGAAGTTAATAATACAGAAACTATAAACTAGAATTCTCAAGCAAATACTAGTCAAAGTGCCTGTCATCATCTTTATTTGTAGTGATGTTTTTATTATTATTTTACACTAAAGCCTTATAGATATATATAGTTGGTCAGTAATTTAGTTACATGTAACCATACTTTGTACATAGCCCTAGCGTATAGACAGTTTTGAGATCTTAAGTTTACAGAGCCCTTTCATCGAGCAAAAAGTTAAAAGTACACTATAACCAATGTTATTAGTGCTCAAATAGACAGCATTTTCTGTGTGTTGGCTACAAGTACAAAGGGTTAGAAGTGACAAGTCCAGTGAAGCTTAGATACTGACCCCATTCATTTTACATATTTGAAACTATGGTACAGGAACATTAAATGAATGAGTGAGAAGCAGAACCTGGCATGATAGCCAGACCCACATGGATTATAATCTAAAAGGCACAACTACATGGAAAAGAGTGTTTCTAAGCCTCAACCTGGCATAATACTAACAGTCCATAACATTCAAAGTAAAGTAGTTTTTAGCTACTGTAAATACCAAATTCTTCTCAGGTATAGTATACTCTGTAAATAGTACTTAGTACTATTCAAAAATTATGAGACTATTTTTGTGTTGATTCAAGAAAGTAACAGATTTTCTTTTACAAGACTAGTTTAAAACAAAAGCTTTCTGTCTTTCAAAAATTTATTAAAATACCAACAAGATTGTATAGGTTCTTGCTACTTTTACTATCTAAAAGATGGGTGAATATAAACCATACAGAAAATTAATCTTCTGTGTCATTACATAAATACCCAGGTAGTATTTGAACTTGTGATGTGTATGTACTTAGTAGCTAGACAACTTTGAATAATTTTCGAGAAAAACACATGCTTTCTTAGGTGAATTTTGCCAGCAAGTAAACTATAATCAAAGTACATGCATAGGTCTATCAGAATGTTGAGTTTCATTTTAACCAGCTCATCCAAAATCCTCTGAATTCTTTTTAGAAGCCCTTCCTACACAGTTAAAAACCAAATGTTAAAATAGAAAATTGATAGAAAAAGTCATCATCTGAATTTTAATGTATTAAGACCACCAAAGACAAAACTCCTAATTAAAATTGGGAGTAATTTTAAAGTGGCATATATGTGTCATAGGTAAATGATAATTATTGAAACTGTAAGGGATTTTAGAAGTCAGCTATGTACCCAAAATCTTCACGTAAAAAATTAAACTTCTGAATACTGAATTGCAAAAATATACTTGATAAGTTATTCTTAAATTGTCACACTTGATACCAGGTAAAGCACAAATGTCTTTTACATTATTTTAAGATTTGGAAGAATGGTTAAATTTTTAAGGATAATTTAATGAAATATTCTAATTTTTTCCAGTGCATCTGGGGGCGGTGTTGTAGCCATTGACAACAAAATAGAACAAGCAATGGTAAGTAGGTTCACAGTTGTCCTTTCACTTCACTGTTGGTCAGACTGACTGTTGGGATCGTCTCAAATCCAGATAACAAAAACATAATTTCTTTTTTTTTTTATTCAAATTAGGAACAAGCTTGCTTCAGATGTCAATCCCTTCTCCCTCTCCCTCTCCTCCCCCCCCAACATCCCACCTGCCCCTAGTCATCCCCCCTCTGCTCCCCAGGCAGGGTAAGGCCCTCAAAGGGGGCTCCCCAAAGTTTACCACATCATCCTGGGCCAGGCCTAGGCCTTACCCCATGTGTCCAGGTCAAGAGAGCATCCCTTCAGAAGGGATGGGCTCTCAAAATCCCTTCTTTTTTTTTTTTTTTTTTTTTTTTTTTTTTAAGACCTTACATATTTAAGACAGTGCGTTACCTCTGTACAAATGGAAAAAAAATAAGTTCAACATTTCTAGACCAATATGGCTGTTAATTTTTGTACAATGCCAACTCAACACAGTAAAAAACATAATTTCTTTAAGTCAGAAATTACCTTCTTTGATGTCAAGATTTAGAAGCTGATAGAACACTGAAAATTTCTAGTCCACATGTACTAATTGAGTGAATAGTCAGTCCTCCATTTGATCACATCATACTTTGTGTGTCACCATTGGAACAGAAGCATACATAATTCAATACAGTATGTGTTCATCAGAAAAACATCAGCCTTTGGTCCACTTAAAGTGGGGGCTTTGGGGCACTTCTGTCTCTAAAATAGCCCTGTGACTAGTTTTTTTAGCAAGCAGCTTTCCATTGGAATATGATCCTCTGCTGTCTATCCAACATCTTAAAATGTTCTTTCTAAGCTTTGGGAGGAAAGAACATTTGCTATACGAGTTGGGAAAGATACTTTTCCCACCCCAACTCCCACAGGCCCAGTCAAGATACAGTAGAAACATTGAAAGCATGAGGAGAAAATTGCTTTAAAAAAAAAATATATAAAAGCCATTTATTATTTATAAGGCACCCAGACAGTCTAGAACTAAGTAAAGTAATTCTTTGTTTCTCATAACTCTTTTGACTTTCCTGATTTTGTTTTTCACAGGATCTGGTGAAAAGCCATTTGATGTATGCAGTAAGAGAAGAAGTGGAAGTTCTAAAGGAGCAAATAAAAGAATTAGTGGAAAGAAACTCTTTACTTGAACGAGAAAATGCACTGTTAAAATCTCTTTCAAACAATGATCAGTTGTCCCAACTCCCAGCCCAACAGGCCAATCCTGGTAGCACTTCTCAACAACAAGCAATGATAGCACAGCCTCCTCAGCCAACGCAACCTCCACAGCAGCCGAATGTTTCCTCAGCATAAAGCTTTCTTAAGCCTCATTAAGGAAAAACCGAAAGCAATCTTTCCTTGTGTGCCACTGGTGTTCTATCCACTTTATAGAAAGCAAGTAGCCATGCTTCGGCTGTGTGCTTGGCCTTTTCAGTATTAGACAATCGTTCTACAGGAGCTTTCCCTCTCTAAGATGTCATGCAGCACTGTTGATGTCCACTTCTATGTCATCAGTACATGAGGAGAATAATAGACGGGGTTTATTAAAGCAAGCAGAGTCTACATTCTACATGTGCGCATGAGTGGGATCTTTAAAATTTTTGGTGGCTCTTCCATGTTTCTTATCACCCATGGATTCACCTTGAGCCTTCCTGTCACATAAATAACAGTTCATCTAAAGAGCCACTTTTCTTTCAATATCAATAACATTTGCCTACGTAAGTTTTCATTTATTTTGTGTTTTATTTATTACAGGGCTGCTATTTTCATAATGTACATGAACAATGTCACAGAACTTTTTTAATTTTTTGAATAATTATAAGTATCAGTAAAGGAATTGAAAGACAGGATTACATTTAATAAATAAAACGTTTAGGCAATAATTGAACAAAAGAATCCTGGCACATTTCTAACACTAATGGCAATTTACCGTTGGTATTTATTTTCAATAGTAAAGATCCAGCTTGAATGTAAATTTTGTATAGTGTAAGTATGAAAAACACAGTGCACCTGTACAGGTAGTCACCAGTTATTGTGATATAATAAATAATTGGGCTATTTTCATGAAGAAAACTTTGTTCATTTGTTTCTACTTTCTAATAGAAATTGCCACGATTCCTCTGCTTTTCAACATTTCGTATGACTTTTTTTTTTTTTTTTTTTTTTTTTTTTTTGGGGGGAAATAAAAAAAGCTGTGAAATTGTTCAACCTACTTTGTAACCAAAGAAGCAAAGCTGTGTAATGGAGTTTTGTTTTGTTTTATAATGCACATTCTTTATGTATTTTTATTTAGTGTTTTCTTGGTCACAATTTTCTTTGCTGTCTAGCATGATCTGCATGGCCTGTAATCTTTGAACCACTTTCGTACCTCATGTTTTTATCCAGCACTCTTATTGTACTGTGTACTAGTCTGTGAACAATGTCAAATAAAAAGAACCAACAGGTCGTATGGTGGAGCTGAGCTAGTGTACAATGCACCAGTTGTACAAAAACAAAAATGAAGTGAGCCATCTTTTGTTCATTTAAAATGGTGTTTTGAATTTCATATGCAGAAAACGTTTTGTTACATTGCAAATTTTAATGTATTTAATAAATGCAACATGCAGATTAAGTGCAGTGTATACTGAGTATTTAAATTAAAATGTACATTTCATAAATACAGTTTCAAGAGAAAGCATCATTTTGTGTATACTAACACATTAAGTGTATGTCAGAAATTGATGTAAAAATATATATTTTAACACATTTTCTGAAATTAAACTACAGTTTTGTTCAAATATTTGGCTCTATATGTGTTCAGAATTTGACTAGATTTGTATTTTCACGGTTTAAAATAATTTCTTAAGTGAAAACCCATGATGTTATTAATGACAATGATAGTTCTTAAATTTTCAAAGTAAAATAATTTAAAGAACACAAGAATGGTGAGCAATATTTGTACTCAATATTCATATTATGTTAACAATATAAATAGGAAATCCTCGTCTACCAAAACTTTTACTTGAATTCAGAAAGGTGCCTGTAGAAATGAACATGTCCTGTATTGGTAGCCTACTAGCTCATTCAGTCTTATTGAGAAACAGTGGTTAACTCTCCATCTTAGAAGAGGTTAAATGTTCTTTATTTATTTGAATCATTCTAGCCTCAAACAAAAGTCAAAATTGAGACATACATGAGATTACCAAATATTTTATATTCTAGTTGTGCTATGGGAAATAATGCTCAGCAAAACTTTTATGTTAATTAGTAACATTAGAAATACTTAAAAGAACTAGATAAGTATATAGACTTGAGTATGTAATAACCCTAAGGATGCAGAGTGAGATTCTAGTAGAGCCACTGTGGGCAAGATAGGATGTGAAACTGCTGTTGGTATGTGAACCCGAAGATTCTCTTGGTGCCCTTCCAATGCTAATAGTATGGTACTTCATGCAAAGAAAAACTAACAAGAAAAGGATTGCAGGAGGAGACAGTTAAATGGCAGACTGCTGCCCAAGAATGCACAAGATCTTCTATTTGCTGTCTGGCACTGAAAACAAAATTAGTGTGATTTTTGCGAAGATAAATGAGTTCTTATTCTAGGGATAGAAAAACATAAGCAAAATGCAATAGCAGTCACCAAGAAAATGATTAATATTTTATGGTTTAAAATGGTAACAGCAATTGCTACTACTCCTATTCAAAGATAAAATAAATAAAATTTGTTCCAAAAAGAATAGCTCTAGTGAACTAAGAAATATAAATTATTTCAATCAGTTATTATAGCTTTTAAATAGCAGGAGTTAATATAGTAAGGTGGGTTTTCCTGTGTTCTCCAGGATGAAATTTAGCAATGTATATCAAGAGCTTTAAATATTAATAAACTAGCTCAGTGGCATGATGCTTAAGGTACAGTGTTCAGAAAATGCAAGTGTGTGCCTGTCCTGTGTGTCCACTCTTCCCTTAGAATAGACCTCAAAAGGTTTATTGATCACCTACCCTGTCCCTATTTAAAGTTGTTCAATGAAGTTTACATCTAAATCTGTTCCTATTTCATGGAGGGTCATTGAACTCCAGAGTCAGGATCAAAGGTGAGCAAGGTATTGTGCTTTTGTTTGAAAATAACTGAGTTTGAGTCATTTCTCTCTAATTGGTTTATTTAGGATCTTCATTTAAACTCGATCTCTGTTGGGTTTAGAGTCTCCAAATATGTAGAATATCATTTTGTTGAAATTCCATTTAGAGACAAATCTTAGAGGAATGTCATCCACCCTTAATTTTCTCAGTCTCAGCCTAGAGACCAGCTGCTACTACATAAGCTTTATGTTGGTTTAATTTTCTGATACAGTAATGCCCAAAGGAAATTATTTTCAGGTAGTCTTGATGTAATCTTAAGATGCATCTAGCAAAACAAAAATGTAGGGAGTCGGATAATTAAGCATTCAGCTTTTTTTTTTTTTTTTTTTTTTCTGTTAGATGAAGCTGTTTGGCCCTGGTGACAGGTCCCTTGTGTATGTTCATGATTTTCTTGAAAGGGGAAAGCCCTATCCTCAGAATTTACAATTGAATTAAGGCTACACAACCCAACCAATACAATGAAACAAATACAGCCAAGCAGGCTCAGGGGTTTCCTGAAAGATAGCATCTGAGTCTTGAGGGTCACAAGCGGATTAGGGCATTTCAAACACAAGAAAAGCCTGCTCAAAGCTCTGAAAAAATAAACAGGGCTCCTAAAGAGCACAGAATTTTATGGGAGAAAAACAACTGCCCCATCAATGTTGGTAGTTTGGCACTATTAGCAGTGAGTCATTGGATGGTGGCTAGTGGGATGTGCTCAGTTCAATGGTAGAGTGAAACGGGACAAATAATTTAGAAAAATTAATCCAGAAAAGTGAGACAGCATTCCATGTACAAATTGTCTGAAGTTTATTGAAGAAAAACTGAGAATTCCTCTACCCCTTTTATATATTACACCCCCAGTATCAGCACTTTGCTTTGTTGTTTCTTTGAGGAAACAACACATTAAACAATACTTGAAAGTTTGGTCAGTCTTATGTCCAATAGCCATGAATCTCTGCAAAATTAATGTCTTTGTTTCCAGTTGAAGGAATTGCAAGAATTTGACAGAAGAGTAAGGCAAACAGAGGAAAATTGGTCACTCTATGCCTCTGTAAATACAGCCCAATGGTAACAATTAAATCCTCTGGTGACAAGGTCACCATAATTCCACAGCCTCTTGCTCCCTGAAGAGATAGTATGAATTCTGACTCCAGTGAAGATACTAACATGTAAGGATAGGTTTTCTATTAACTTTGCTTTTCATTCTCTAACATAAGTCAGACACACAGCCTTCTCTTCCATACTCTGTTGATACAATAACAGATTTCCCCTCCCCTCCCCAGCTTTAAGCCCTCTAATAATTCATGTTTCTACTTTCTAATGCTAATCATGTCTTGTGTTCATTTGCACCAGTTGGCAAATTGACATTCCAAGGTACATCCCTGGCTCATATTTCCATACCAGGTTATGAATTTCTCCATCTAAATCTCTTTCAATGCACGCCTTCCCTATATAAGTGAAGAGTTACAAGTGTGCCCTTAGTGGGCTACCATTGGTCTGCCATATTCAAATGTAGAAATTGCTAAAAAAAAAAAAAAAAGTACTATAGAAAGCAATGTAAAGTTCATAGACCTGCACTTTTCTATGTTTTAATTAATTTTTCAAAAAATTGGCAGTCTTTTAGAATTGGTGATGGCAAGACAAGCTATTATTTCGCACTGGCACTGAACTTGCTCAACATGATTAGATAGTTAGCTTTAGTTTTCCTTTTCTTACCAGGGTTGCTGATAAAGTAGGCAGTTTAGAATGTTTTCTGACTACCTGGTGTCATGGATCCAGAGTCCCTATGTTTACAGGCTAGAACCTGCCCATAGAAGCCATAATGTTCCTCTGAAAGAAGGAGAGAAAGGAGATGTGTTAACTTTAGAAAAATGATTGAAGTTTAAGACAAGCCAAATGACACACTTCAGCTTCTCCATAATGAAAGTTGAGGTCTCTTGTAGTTCCAACTGTTTGCATGCTTTCATTATTCCCATAAAATACCTGCAAAGTGCTCTTGCCCACTGCAATCCAAAAGGTCTTCCAGATCACAGTTTCTAGTGTCACCTCACAAGTAATTAGCTCATCTATAGATAAACTTGAAGAAGACAGCAGACAAGGAAGCTTATCCCACACATGGTGTATGTGATACTAGGCCAGTGTCTACTTCTAACTCGCTGAGAAATACAATTTGCAAATCTCTTGTCTTACATAGACAAACATACATGCTGAAGTCTTGGGAAATAATTTGGGCTTTTCTTTTTTTCTTAGAAATGTTGGGAAGCAATTCAATTCTATCTCAACTTAGGTGCTTATCTCTATACTGAATGTTTGAGAACAGAAAGCTGTTGAGGGCATGATCTGTGCCCCCCAAGAGCTTATCATCCAATGAGAAAGTAGAAGCCGAGGTACCATGTTGCTTATCCAGAACAGTTTATAGACCTTGTGTCCTTTGTTAGATGGAAGGTTCTGTAAATCAGTAGTAATTTGCTGTGTCATGTGAAACCCTTTGCTGTTGCCAGGAAATAACTAAAGCACCAAAAAGCTTTGGCAAAAATAATCCTGGAAAAGGAGACCAGGCAAAAGAAGACTTTCCACACCTATACTGAGCCTGGGAGTTACCCCTAAAAAAAAAAAAAAAAAAAAAAAAAAAACTAATCTGAGAGAGATGTTTACACATTTTTAATACTCTCAATTTGTAGATAATGGATCTAATTTAATGACTAGAATTTACATGTCATGAATTATATTGTCTCTTGTCTCATAAGTAACATACATTTTTGGCTGTCTTAACCAGCTGTCATTCAATGAATGAAGTTAATAACTCAGGTACCTGATGCCAAAAATAAATCTCTAATAGAACTGAGAATTCAGAGATAAATACAAGGCTGTATGTTAAGTAAGTGGTAAGCCTTACGTTTCAGATCGGGGGAAAGAATGGCTTAGTCAACAGGTAGTATTGAGACTGTAACCTTAAGGGGTGGGGAAAAGGGAAACTCAGCTCTCTCACAAAAATTAAAAATTCCAGCCACACTAGAAGTGAGTCTTCTGTTTTGGAAATTCAAAGCCTTGATAATATATGAAAGTGAATAGCTTTACAAATAAGTTATGAAGAGCTGCTCAGCCTTGGCAGAGCAAAGCACACATGAAACACACTATCTTTGTTGAGATCCAGTTGGTGAACATGAGACACATGAGGATCAAGAGCTGACAAGTGTGGAAAAGTAGGAATCTGACATCACGTAAGTTTGCACAGCCACTTTTAAAGGCAGCTGGGTAATTGAAATTTTAGATGCCCTGTGACCCCATGATTCCAATTTTTAATATCTACCCTAAAACACACACACAGAGACGTTCACAAGGCAGCTTGTAAGAGTATGCTATTGGAAAAATCAAAATCCACCAAGATAATGGAATATGCTCAATGCTACAACATATTAGGTATCAGTGGGAAAGAATGAAGAAGTAAGAATGTGTGCTGACAGTAGATGTCTAGGAGGTAATGTTAACTTTGTTAAAAGTCTGGGGGGAAAATACATGTAATACACATGATACTGTTGGTATTTAAAAAAAAATGCCATACACAATACTGTATAGTGTACTTCTGCAAATACCTTTCAGTGTACAATATAAATATAGAGAGAAGGTTTGGAAGAATACTAACCAAGCTGTTTACAGTAGTTTGGTGGTGTGTGTTAGCTTAAACTGTAATATTTGATGTTTTTGAATCTGCATTCATGTACTGTTTGTGTAATGACAAATTAATAAATTAGAAATAAAATGCAATAGAAGGTGTTTTCTTCTTCTCTTCTTCTCATCTTCCTCAATGTCCTGGGTCTCAGCTTCAGCCTCTCTTCTTGCCCACTGTGCCAGGAATGTTTTTCCACTGCCCCCGACACACACACACACACAAACACACACTGCTTGCTTATCACCCTCTCCTGTGGATTTTTCATGTAAGTATGTAATAAATGATAAACAATGAAAAGTAACACTCCTCCCCTAACAAGGTCTGTTCTCCCCACCCTAGCCCCAGCTTCCTCCTTTGCCTTCCCTGCTCTCCTGAGCTGTCATGACAATGCTAACTGGTCTTGGCTCCTCAGCACCACTGGAGCTGTTTCTTGTCAAGAGCACCAATGCACCCTTGATGCTAAGTCAGCTACCATGTTCTTATTGGAGTGCTATGCCTAATTCCTGATTATCATTTAATTAATAAAAGATAACATTTTCTATTTCTTCACTTTTAATTTTCCTCACTTGTTATTAAGTCCTCTATATTTTTAGGAGTGTCTCTTTTAAAGCATATGGCTGATTTTTTTTTAATGGTTTTAATCCAGTCTGTCTTCTAACAAGTGAATTTAATCCATTCCTATGTATCGTCATTGCTGGCATGTCTGGAGCATTTTGTGTTTTCTGTCTAAAATATTTCCTGAGACCTTCCTCATTTCCCCCACCCTTGGCTTATTCAACTGATAGTTTTTATTAATTTCTTACCTCTTTTATTGCTGGAAAGTTATACACCCCGTGTCCACTCACCCTAGTTGTTGTTATTTTACCATTTTCTCTATCACTGAGTTGTGAGGATCCCCAATCATGTGCAGAAGTAGTCTAGCAAATGCCCACGTACTCATCACCCAATTTAAACTACATCTGCTCATGGCCAATCTTACATGTACAAATGTTTGTCAGCTTCTTCTGTGATCATCTGGATTGTTTTGAAGAGAGCCTAAGATGTCTTCAACTTCACATTTACTTCAAGATTTTTTTTTTTTTTTTTTTTTTGGTAGCCATACCAATTGCACCATCTCAAAATGAGCAATCCACTTGTCTCACAGGAAATCTGGCCAATGTCTAAATTTTACTGCTTATATATTTGTTTGAATCCAAATCAAAGGAAGGAGTGACTTCACATTGTAAGTGGTTGTCTTACATCTAAATCCCTTCATCTGGAGGGTCCATGTTTCTCCCCCATCTCCCTGCCTGCCCCTGATGAAAATTTTTAACAATCTGTGTTATTTTCCTGTGACTATTCCTGAAGCTTGAGTTTCCCTGGTAGCATTTTTGTAGCATCCTCTGCCCCCTGTATTTCTAAATCATATCTTGAAGCTTAGACAGATTCAAATTATATTTTGTCAAAATTAATTCAAATACAATGTTTGCTGTATGCTTATGCCTGGTTGTCTCTACTCTGTGATATTGGCATCACTGGTGGTTATTCCCTGTGCCCATGGGTTCTCTTATACTTTTTCTCACACTAGTGGGACACTCCTCTAAAGAGAAATGTGTCATCACTGACTGGCCAGTCACCTTGTTGTATAGTCATCTAAGAAAGGCGGGGGCTTTATTCCATCTTTTAACTCCTAGTTTCAAATGAATAAAAATAAATATGCAAAGAACTGATCTCTTGCTCTGGGGGAGAATGGAGTGAGTTCATTTGGGATGCCAAACCCCAGGTACTTTGTAGGGAGACGCTGGGAAGTAACTAAAGAAAAGAAAACTTGGTGACAGAAAACAACTGTGCGCTGCTGAGTCAGGGACTGAGCAACTTCTGAGTCAAGAGTATTTTGAAACAGGAGGGTTACCATGAGTTGAAGGCCAGCCCATATTACAGAGTGGGACCCTATCTCAAAAAGGAAAAAAGTTATCATGCTGAGAGGTAGGGATGTGTGGTGGTTTGGATGAGATGGCCCCCATAGTCTCTGGCATTTGAATACTTGGTCACAAGTTGATGGCACTATTTGGGGAGGCTTAGGAAATATGGTCTTGCTGGAGGAAGTACATCACTACGGGCAGGCTTTGAGGTTTCTCAGGGGCCATTTCCCATTGGGACTCTCGTAACTTTCTGCTTGTGGTTCTGAGATATGAGATCTCAGTTTTTCCTGCCACCATGCCTACCTGCTGCCACATTCCCCTGTTGTCATGGAGATAGTTCTTATTCTCTGGCACTCTAATCCCAAAGTAAACCAGTTGTTCCTTCTGAGTTGCCTTGCTCATGGTGTTTTGCCAAAATAGAGAAGTAACTAAGACACAATGGGAAGCAAGCTCACATCTGGGCACAACTGGCAGTGCTTTGAGAGAAACAGCAATAGCTGGGAACAGAGCAGTGGAAGCTGTCCAAGAAGCCGGGGAGCAGCTACACAGACAAGCAGTCCACTTTTAAGCTAACCTTCTTCCATGTGGTGACTGCACATACTTAGAAGCTCATGAACCAGAAAGCTTACTAAGAAAGACAGCAGGGGCCGGGTGGTGGTGGTGCAAGCCTTTAATCCCAGCACTCGGTAGGCAGAGGCAGAGGCAGAGGCAGAGGCAGAGGCAGAGAGGCAGAGGCA